CCAATTTCGATTGGCATGCGGTCCCACACTCCCTTCAGAGAAGGGAGTGTTGGAGTGTGTGTGCGAAGGGGGGTGGAGTGTGATTATCACTCCCCAAGAGGAAGGGATGTCAGATAATGATTTGAAGGTCTAGTTCTTGTTTCAACAGAGACAAACGAAGACAAACCTGATTGTCTCCAAGTGAATCCAAAGGATTCAAGACCAGAACAATTGACTTTTGATCGGCCTGAAACAGGTTGTGGCAACACTGGGAAGTTACATACGTTACGATATCCGAAGGGATTTTCGTAACATAACTTCCCAGCTGTCCAGATAACGCCTCTAGCGTTATCCAGACAAAATGGGGTTTTGGGCCATGAGTAACGTAACGAAGGGGGTTTCTCCCCTCGTTACCCAGAAAAATAACGCAAACAACAAGTTATCTGCGTTATTGACCTAGTTATTCATTTGTTAATCGACCTTTTTGCGCTGTGGATAACGTAACGACAAAAAAAAGGAAGAAAAATTAAAAAATAAAACGTAACGGAAAGGTCGTTGTGATTATTGTAACGCTAACAGCCCTGGTTTCGTTTCGTTATCGTTACGCTACCGTTACTGGAATCGTAACCTCCCAGTGTTGGTTGTGGTACATCTCAGCAATCCAGGTTTTTCCAAATCCAGTACCCACCAGAACAAACGTATGTCGGTCATGCACTAATGCAGCAACGGCGTCGACTTGTTCGCTTTTTGCTTCGTCTCCGTACAGCTCTCTAGAGTTGGCTCGGATATGCTCCCTGAGGGCTTTGTTGCTGAGATCCAGGATTTCTTTGGGCAAGGTCACTTGTTTCTTGGTTGTAGCTCGTGATTTCAACGCGGTTATCTCATCCGGAAGAGCCGCCTCAGGGTTAACAGTATTCATCTCGTCATCGAACAGCGTCTCATCGGGGTTGGAGCTTGAAGGAGAGCCTTCCGAAGCGTCGGGACCGATCTCAATAGGGAACGAAGGTTCTGGCTCTTGGATTGCCAGATCATCTTGAAGGAAAGCTCCTGGTGAGCCGGCCGGTATCGAATCTTCTGGTCCGCCGCTCATCTTTGACGACTAATCTCGGAAAGGGTTCTGTCTATTGAGAACGGTCAACAGGAGATGCCAATCTCTTCAAGTTGACCGATTTAGGTCACTTTCTTTTTCAGCCGTTATAACAGTCAATCTGTGATGTTACGAATGTTATAATGCTAATTGGCTTATTATTACAAATTAAATTGTCTGAAAAAAAAACAAGATGTGGGGCACTCTAACTTGGAATTGGTAACTCCAGTTGACAAGAGATGATATTCGAAAACGATTAGAAAAATTGTGAGACAAGGTAAAAAGAAACAAAAAGCATCGAAGGAACAGCAAGAAGCAGGCCTTCATGGCCTGGCAAGGAGACACTGGGCATGTTGATGAGACAACGGCTATAAAAGGATGAAGACGAAAATTGGGATTTTCAGCCCAAGTTCAGAATCTCAGCGCGCGGGGATTTTGACTTCAGGCATAGGCCTCAACTGGCGTGGACAGCTCCGCTGCTCGCTACCGCTCCTGCCGTGGAGGCCTAGTTAAGCTTGCAGAAAAGGGGGGTACATTTATTAATCCCCAAAAAATGGCCTTGAGGGTGGGGGGAACCCCCCAGCTTCCCGGCCAGGTTGACCGGAAGGGTTTCCTTCTGGTCGATGAGGTAGATGTACCTCATCAATCGGAAGGGTTTCCTTCTGGTCGATGAGGTAGATGTACCTCATCGATCGGAAGGGTTTCCTTCCGGTTGATGAGGTACATGTACCTCGTTGACCAGAAGGAAACCCTTCCAATCAGCAAGGTACATCTACCTCGTTGACCGGAAGAGTTTCCTTCCAGTCAACGAGGATGTACTTTGTTGATTGGAAGGAACCCCTTCCAATCAACGAGGATGTACCTTGTTGATTGGAAGGAACCCCTTCCAATCAATAAGGATGTACCTCGTTGATCGGAAGGAAACCCTTCCGATTGATGATGTACAGTCTCCTCCCAGATGTTTATAGCCATCTGTTTCGAGCTACACACTGGAAACCCAAAAATTTCATGTCAAAATATTTGGTGGAATGGTGGAAAATGGGTCTCAAAGAATGAATATGAAAAAATAATAATGATAAAAAAGATTATAAAATTTGTGAAAAGTAAAAAGGAGAAAATCACAAAAACTGACAGCTCTAATATTTCTTTCAGGAAAAGATGAAACCTCCAAAGTGATAGTATGAGATCTGGAATGAATAATAAGAAGTGAAAATTTGGAAGAAAATGAATATTTGGTGGTTTATAAAGGGTGCCTAGGGGGTCATTCATCAAGAAATGTGGCATTTTGGTACTGCAATCTACTAATTTTGACTGCAGGGTGTCCACCTACCATGCTCAAACTTTTTTGGGATCAATATTTTTCATTTATAATCATTCTTTTCATGTTCCAAACTTACCCTCTGTGTTTTCACTTTTCACTCAAACAAAAAATTAAAGCTTTCAAAAAAAGTTGATATTCTTTTATCTTTTTCACAAATTTTAAAATCTTGTTTTTTATTATTTTTTTTTTTTTCATATTCATTCTTTGACTCTTGTGACTTGAAGTTTTTGGGTTACAGCTGTGGAGCTTGAAGCAGATGGCTATAAACATCTGGGAGGAGACTGTACAGTGGGTGGACCATTATTTTTGGCTGCCTGTTT